GAGGTGGAGGAGCCCGCGCGGCGCGGGGACTGAGCGGCCGAGTGGTTGAGCGGCCGGACCTCAGCGGACTCGCCATGGAAGAAGAGGTGAGGGCCGGGCCAGGCGGGGGGCCGGGGCTGGAGGCTACGAGCCCCTCACGGAGGCTGGGTCCCTGGTTCAGGCCCTTGTTCTAGCCGGCCCCTCTCCGGCGGGTCTGCGGACACCCCCACCACCCAGGCAGAGTCTAGGCAGTTGGGATGAGGCAGAGGCCGTTGTAGAGATCCTAGACTCGTAGACTCGTCCTCTTTCATTATCTGTCTTCTTTTACCAACTGTGGGCATGGTGGCTGTTACTGTTCCCATCCGATTGATGGGGAGACTGAGGCTCTGGTCAGTTTGATGGCTTGCTGAAAGTGGCCTGGGTTGCTGGGCTCGAACTCTGGTTACCATTGACTCCCTGTGCCGTCCAGGTCAGATCCTGAAGGGCCAAACTGTGTGTGTGTGTGTGTTGTGGTAGGTTTGTGGGTTCTGGAGTCCCTGTCTCAAGGAATCTTGAAGCTGTGACCGTGTCTGGTGGCTAGAGGACTGGAGAAGTTGCATTTTTCTCCCCTGTTTACGTTTCTGTGAGTCCCTTTCCCCTATGAGTCTGCCTTCTCCCCTGCTGGGGAGTCAGGCCCATGTAGGGGCTAATCCCCGCTCCTGCCTTCTCCACATCCCTGGGAGGGCTGACTCCCTGGAGGAGCTGGGAAGCTGGACCAGCAGCGCCCCTCGAACCTGCCTCTTACCCCTCAAAACCATCTTGGTCTGGGGTGGGATCAGGCACTCTGTGACCCCTGCTCTTGACTTGCAGACTCAGTTCTCTCAATAGCCACCTCATCTAAGCACACAGCCAGCACTTAACGTGTGACTGTGGAATGAATAAATTAGGGAGGGGCCTACTGAGGCTAGAAGATTTTGCTTCTGGTACCTTGGAGGTGGGGGAGGTGTCTCAGCTTCTGCCCCTCCCAGACAAATGGAAGGGGATGTGTCTTTGCATGGATGAAAGATGAAGCCTTCACTCTTGGGCCAACCCTGGCCAGCTGGAGGCCAGGCTGCCTGTGTCCCTGTCAGTGCTCATCTCCCTACTTCCTAGGACCACTGACCAGGGGCAGCTGGGGTATCTGTCAACGTTCCCTGTAGGCCAGGCCCTGCATTTCTGTGGGATGGTATATAAGTCACTTCCCCTCTCAGCTTGCATTTCCTCTTCTATAAAATATAGGGCCTGGCCTCCTCCCCAGGTTCTGATTGTAGTCCCTTCTCTCAGAGTGGCTGGAAGTAGGGGGCAAAGTCAGGCCACTATGATTTGCTGTGGTTGCTTGCTGACAGGGATGGGGCTGCCCCTCTACTCCTGTTGTGAGGGCCCAGGCTGTCTGGCTGTAGCCCCACCCCTTCTCCCAGAGGATGTGGGACAGGATTACTCCATCTCCTGATCTGCTATGGCCCCCAATTAAGGAAGTTCTCCGGGGGCCTCCTGGGCCGATGGTTTGTCTCGTGGTCGGCCCAGCCCAGCCGTGTACTCCCTCTGGTCCTGAGTCTCTTGCTTTGCCATTTACTGACTCCAGATGCCAAAAGCTCCCCGCATACCTGGGCTATCTAAGGTCTTGCCTACCACCTCCCACACAGCCAGGGGCTCCATATCCCCTACTTCCCCTTTGGTATCTCTCTTTCGCCCATTTCTTCCTCTAGTCATTTCCCCTGGTTTCTCCAGGCCCCAGTGCCCATCCTCATTTCTCTAAAACACCTCTTAGATCATGGTCACCTGCTCTGCCCCATGACCCTGGGCTGGCCTAATCATCTCACTCCCAAATGTCTGCTTTCAGTCCTCCCCCAGCTTTGAACTTCCTCCCCATGCCTCAGGCATCCTGGTGCCAAGCCCCCTCAGCCTCAGTGAACTCCTCCGTGCAATAGATTGGTAATTCCTTTCAGGCTGAGATTTGGTGAAGGGTGGCTCTGGGCACTGAGCTTCTATCCAGTTGTGTTCTCAGGGCCTCCATATCCCCATCTATAAAATGAGGGAGGTGGGCAGACCAGAAATGCCATGCCCTATGTGCAAAAGCTTTGAAAGCTGCAGGGATCAGTGTGAAGTATTGTTGCCACTGGAGTAGGGTTAAAAACCTTGAACTCAGGCTTTACTGTCCCTGCCCTGGGGTTCTGCCCCTCTTCCTCTCAGCCATGTCTTTCCCTGGCTTGGCCTCCAGCTCCCCAGTAGCTCCAGGTGGCTCGTTTGCCCTTACCTATCTAGAGAGAGGCAGGGCAGTGTCCTGTCCCAGCACTTGACCGTGAGCTAATCTCTGGCCCTTTCTGGCCTGCGCTTTCTCCTCCTGAGAGTGTAGGGTCTGTGATACCCTTTGTGCCTTTCCTTCTCTGGGCCAAGGTGTGTATCTCTTTCCCTCGTTCTGCAAGGGCTTCCCAAACTAACCCCAAGCCCTTACCCCGCCAGAGAGCTAAGATGTATTCCGCTGGGGAGGTGCTAGGACCCTCCCAGCAGGCTCAGGTCCTCTCAAGCGGGGATGCCCACCAACCCCCAGGCTGAGCACTTGCCTTGTGCAGGGTCTGTGTTGCCCTCATCAGACTGGACGTTCCCCAGGGCAGAGCCTTTGCTTCCCCTCCCTGATCGCCCCATCACAGACCTCTGACGTGGGGGGTTCTTAGCAGGGTTTGGTCAGAACATCATGGGGTTTAGTCAAAGGGCAAAGGTCATCATCATAAGCTCCCTGTGATGTGAGGTGCCAGCAAGTTCCCTTCTGCTGGTCTCTGTCCCTCTGTCATGGCCTGTGTTGTGGCTTTCCACCTGCTCCCTTCTGTGCACAGGGTTGGGGTGACCTGGCATCTTCTTCCTTTTTTTTTCTTTAAATGAATGACCCAGAGACCCTCCCACCTCAGACAGAGTGGGGCCAGGCTGGCGCCCAGGGGTGCCTCAGAAGCAGCCCATGGTGGGCAGGGGAGGGCCTGAGTGAGGATGGGTGGGAGAGGAGAAGGCAAACAGAATGAACAGTGGTCAGCTGGTCAATAAGAGGAGAGGAGGCCGAGAAACTGGGCTGAGCAGGACAAAAACTCCCCTGTGAGCCCTGCCAAGGGGAGGGGCTGCTTATTAAAACTTACTGGGGCATAGCCCAGCCCCGGGTGGGAGAGTGTCTGAGGGGCAGGGAGAGGGCTGGGTGAAGGGTGGCCGGCAGGCAGGGCTCTGACCTCCAGCCGGGCCTCTCCTCTGGTGGCTGTTGCTGTAGCTGATCCCTGACAAAGGGACCCTTCTCTGGGCTTTGGTTCCTGCCACCTCCAGCCCCTCAGTTGTCACTCTCCCCATCCCAAAGTGCCTTCTCTCCTCAGTCGCATCCTGGTCCCCTCATCCCTAAAAGCCCTGGACTTGCTTCTCTAGCTAGTCCAGTTGTGGTCTTCACTGGGCACTGCTCCACGACACCCAGAGGGGACAGTGGTCATGGCACCGGGTTCCAGCCTGGCCCCCGGAGCTTTCACGTGGCAGGAAGTTTTCACGTGCCAGCCTCTGGGTGAGGCAGGCAGGGGAGGTCACAAGTGGAGGGAGTTTAGAAAGGGGCGTGAGATCCCATGGGGTGTTGGGTGGGCCCCTGAAAACAGGAGGCGAGCTTGGAGTGAGGGGGGAGATCTGGGCAGCAGCTCCTTGCTCCACAGTCTCGTTTAGGAGAAGCCCAGAGTCTGCAGTCCTAGGAGGTGGCCAACTGCTGTAGCTGCTGAGGGAGGGGTGTGACATGTGAAATGTGGGGGTGGGGCTTCCCATTTCTCACTTCTTCCCTTCCAGCCCTGGGCCTGGACTGGCTTGCAGGGGTCTCTGAGGGGATGAGGCCCCTGTGGGTCACACAGCCCAAGGGGCTAAACACAAGGTCTCTGGTAATGCAGGGCGTTGGGTGCACGGTAGGGTGCTAGACCCTCTCCTTTCTTGTCGAACAGCCCTGAAGTCCCCCCCCCCACCCCGTCAGGGTGGCTCGTAACTGGGCTGTAGGCAAGCCTCCCACTTCCTCATTCCTCCATCTGGGAAGACCTCTTGGGACCATCCCACTTCCCTCTTGTCATCTACAAGTTTAGAGAGAGACCCTGAGGGGGCACCTTGCTTTCCTGGAGCTCCTGGGGCACTGAGGCCCAGCAGCTGAGCCCAGAAAGGCCTCTTCCGGAATTCTGAGGCCCAGGGAGTGGGTCCCTGAGAGCAAGGGGATGGCAGTGACAACAGTAACAGTAATGACAGCTGCCATTTACTTTAAGTTTAGGGTATCCGAGGCACTGCTTTGTATGCCTTATCTTTTTGTCCAGAAACAAACATTTATTGAGTGCCGACTGTGTGCTAGACACCGTCTAGGCACTGGGGATACAGCAGTAAACAGAACAAAAATCCCTGCCCTCATGGAGTTATAATCCTTGCAACTTCTGCTAATATTGTCATTTCACAGATGAAGAAACTGAGGCTTAGAGAGATCAAGTGACTTGCCTCTTGACCTGGGTGGGACCTGGTCTGTGTGACTTGGTCTTCAAAGCTCAGACTCCTGCTCACTGGTGTGTGCAGTTCAGAGGGTGAGGAGGCCTCAGTGAGAGCCAGGCTGGGGCTCCTCCGCCACGATGGAGAGCAGGGAGGCTGTGCCTGGCCCAGCCCCTGACAGCTCACCACACTTCTGTCTGAACTTGTCCTTCCAAAGGCGGTTGTGGTCACAGGGTATCCCTGGGGAGAATTATGCTCCTTTTAACTGGAACCCCTTTTTTTGGGCTTTATGTAAATTATAAAGTAGTCAAAATTAGTGCTGATTTCCTTCTAGCATCCTCTAGATTTTGACACGCTTCTTAACCCCCTCTCTTCCACCCTCCCCTTTACACTCACCACTGTGGGTACCAGTCACTGAAGCAAAGTGGTTAGCAAATTGGGTTTATTTTTGCACCCATTATGTGTAAAGGAACAGTGCTGGGTTCTGGGGACTAAGGGTGAATTCAACCCCATCTGGTAGCCATATACCTGGCACCCAGCTACCCAAGCAGGTAATCAAAGGGCACAAGATGTCGGTGGCTGGCCTGGAGGCTCCAGGGTGGCTGCCATGTCCTGGAGGAGGCCTTGAGTTTATTTTCTGTACCAGCCTTTGGTCGATGGCAGCATCCTTGATGCCCTTACCAGATAGGGTGGCTGCTTCAACCTCCTGGCCTGGGGCGGGAGTGAGGGCAGAGGAGCTTCCTGCTTTGGGGCATGATGCGGGGGCTGCAGAGTGGGCTCTCTAAAAGGGTAAGGGTAGAGAGGAAGATGACCACTCTGCCTGCCTGCCTCCTCCCTTCTGATCCTGCTTAAACATCCTCTCCTCCTGGGGTCCTTCCTGGGCCACCCTGATCTGAACCAGATCCCCCGCTGTCCTCTCATTCCCTGCTCTTCACTTCCCTTCAGTGTTTCATGAGCAAGCATCTCACACTTGTTCATGTGTTCATGTCTGGTGTTTGTTCAGCTCCTCCTTCCCCTCATTGCCAGCTCTATGAGGACAAAGATGCATTACTTTTATTCTTCTCTGCCTCCTCCAGCACCTGTGACACTGTAGGTGCTCAGTACAATGTGTGTTCACTGGCTGAATGAACTCACGGGAGGAGGAGTGGTGGAGGGGGGAAGAACATGGAGCCAGAGACCCAGTTTGAATTCTGATTCTGTCCTTCCAGCAGTGTGACTCTGGCAAGTCATCTTCCCACTCAAAGGAGCTTCCTAGTCTGCCAGGACATGTGGATAATGATGCTTCTGCCTGGGAGGGTAGTCGCACAAGTTAAATGAGACGGTGTATGTAAAACAATACGGTGGCTCAGTATAAGGTGGCTGCTGTTATTACTGTTTTTCCTGGTGCTGGATCAAGAGTTTCTGCGTCAGGGGTTGTGGGGATGCTCACGTGGGGCGGTGTCAGTAGGTTTCCAGCAGAGGGACACATCCGTTGTGTGGCGTCATGGCAGCGGCCCTCACGCCGTGTCCCGGTGCTCTCTTACAGGGTGTGAAGGAGGCAGGCGAGAAGCCTCGGGGAGCACAGACGGCGGACAAGGCTGGCTGGATCAAGAAGAGCAGTGGGGGCTTCCTGGGGCTCTGGAAAGACCGCTATCTGCTCCTCTGCCAGGCCCAGCTGCTGGTCTACGAGAACGAGGTAAGCGCCTGCCTGGTCTTGAGTTTGGGGGTGCCAGGGCAGGGAGCAAAGAGAGGGCAGCCCAGGCCAGCAGAGGATCCAGAACCAGGGCTGGAAGACCTTCTCCGCCTTTGACCTGCTGTGCAACCTTGGGCGATTGCCTGGTCTTCTCTGAGTCTGTGCCACACGGCGACAAAACCTCCAGGTGCAAGTCTGGGGCTTCTAGATGAGGGGCTCTTTGAGGCGCATGTGCATGGGGACGTGTGTGTCTCCTCAGCCTGACACCCACGCTAGGGGCTAGGTTCCACACGTGTGACTCTTCCAGAAAACAGCCTTGCTCTACTCAGTGATGAGAGTAGAAATGACACTTATGGCTCATGCTTATTTAGAGGTCTTACACACCTCTTGGACGATGCTCATGACAGTCCTGTGAGAGAGGTCGGCATGTTACATTCTACAGAGGAGGACCCTGAGGTCCAGGGCGGCCGAATCCTCTCCAGCGTTTCAGTGAATGAAGGTTAGATCTAGAACCAAAGTCAGGGCTCTCTCCACCCAGCTATGCCAGCAAGTAAACTCAAAAATTTATTTTTGGTTGGAAGTCCTCTAAAGTATGGTGAATGTTGTCTGCCTTCTTCCACAGAAGGTGCCGGCCTAAATGGAGGCTCTCCCTGGTAGCTCAGCGTCGCTGATGCCCAGACCGTTCTGTGCTGCAGGACCGTACTTTTCAGCTTTTCTTTCTCCTTTAACATCAAGCTGCCAGTTGCCATTTCTGCTGCCCTTGTGCCTTTCCCAGTCCTCATGTCTTCTCGCTTCAGGGAAGTGCCCATTTTCATTTCAGCAGGCTTAGAATTTGAACGACTAAGGATTCGGAAGTTGTGTGTTAAATAAGAGTCGAACCAGTTCTGGGTGAAGACCTGAGGAGGAAAGGTGGCTTCTACCTGGAGATGCTGAGGCTATCAGAGGGCCTGTCCCTAAAAATGGGCTAATCACTCTGTGCCTTTGACATGGGGGGCGGGTAGAACTGGCCTTGGGGCAGAGGAAGAGAGTTTTCCCTATCAGCCTCTGTCAGCGTGCCTCAGGCTGTCTTGGCAAATTCATAATTGTTCCAGGCCAAGAAAGCTTGGGCAGCCAGATCTAGGTGTTTAAAGGAGCTGCCTTTAGAAGCACCTCATCTTTCCTGCCCGAGTCCCCAGGCTCATGGAGTTGGGGTGTCAGAGAAGCAGCTGGAGAAGGCCAAGGGGGTGCATGGTGCAGACAGCCCCCCAGATGTTCTGTACTGCTGCTGTCACCAAATTAGGTTGTGCTGTGGTGGCGGCAGGGGGCTATTTTTATAAATAAAGGGGGTTGTCAAAGCTTCCTCCAGTCTCAGCTGCCATAAGAGTTGAGTGGCAGGCCCCCAGCTGTCAGCCTGTCAGGCGCTGCCAGACTGTCCTGGGCCGCCTCTCTACATCTGGCCACATCTGAGAAGCAGAAAGGATTTCACATCCCCTAAACGTGAAAAGTCTAAATCACACTTTAAAAAAAAAATCACTATTAAAAACCTCAGTGCAGTTTCAAGAACTTAGCACTTGGGGGTGGGGGAGCTTGGCTCAGGAGAAGGAATTGAGAAATGCTTATTAGTTCAATTTCTGTTTCTGATGTAAGGAACTAGGCGAGTGCGAATGGCTCTTGGCTGTTTCTTTGCTGTCAGTGAGGCTGACATTCCAAAAATGCTGCCCCCGCCCAGTGCCTGCTGGTTTATCCGATTCTTCTGAGCTGCAGAAGGGCCGGATGATTCAGCGTTTCAGGTTGAGAGGAGACCCAGGTCAGGCGGACATAGGGAGCCAGCTGGTGGAGATGGACTGACTTTTTGTTTCCAGGCAGAGGAGGGTATGTTTGGGCCAGGAAGAGGCCTGTGCAGGGGACAGGTGAGCCACACTCTCTGGGATGGGGAGTCCTTCCTGTAGTCTCACTCTGAGTCAGGCATTCAGTTCAGTGAACTTTTCCTATGTCCGCCACCCTTGAGGGCTGCCTCTTGTAGGGCGCTGTAGGGGGAGCAGAAAGGAGAGCAGACACATGCAGCAGAGGGTAGAAAGTGATGGCTTAGTAGGGAGTCAGGACTTTCTTCCCCGTGGCAGGGCATGTCTAGCACCTGGAATGACGCCTGCAGAGGTGCCCGCCGATGTGGGACCTCAGAGGAGGGAGAGAGCACTGAGGCTCGGGCTCATGCGAGTGGGCAGGGCAGCTTCCTGGCGCAGGTGGATTTTACCAGCCTTGTGTGGAGTGCAGGAACCTGGAAGGGATTGGAGACTAAGGGTTGGAAAGAGCTGCTGGAGGCAAAAATGGGGAAAGATACCTGGTTGGAAAAGATCAGGCTACCTCTTCCCCTTTCTGTGAGGGGCTGAAGAGAAAGTAGATCAGTGCTTACCCACCTTGGCTGTGGAGTCATCTGCTTTGAAAAATACTGATGTCTGGGCTCTACCCGCCAGGGATCCTGATGTAATTGGTCTGGGATGTTGCCTGGACATTGGGGCTTTTAAAGCTCCCAGGTGCTGCCAAGGTTGAGAACCTCTGGTGTAGAGCAGAGGTTCCCAAACTTTTGCATACATCACAATCGTCTGGAGGGCTTAAAACTCAGAGTGCCAGGCCCGTTCTCCTAAGATTATGATTCAGTAGGGATGAGGGTTGAGAATTTGCATTTCTGAAAAGTTCTCAGATGCCGCTGCTGCTGCTGGCCCAAGTACCACACCCGGAGGACCACTGGTGCAGAGCACCTGCCACTAAGCACTGCCCAGCCTCTGGCTGGGAGAAGTGTTGTAGCTGGAAGGAGCTCTGGCCTGGGAGTCAGAGGATGTGCATTTGAGTTTGGCCCTACCCCTTATATTTGGTTCTGTACTCCTAAGGCAAATCGCTTCGCCTCTTCCTCTATAGAGTGAGGCAAATATTGGGTCTCTGGGATTTCAGGGTGCTTGAAGGCTTGGAAGAATCAGGATGCAAACGTTTTACTAAGTATCAGGGTTTCTTAGTATATGTGGATTATCATGGAGGGAAATTAGGGCATTTCCTCTGCAAATAATTGAGTCACTGCCTTCCAGACATTCCACCCAAAACTGCAGAGCACTGAGGCGGTCGCTGGTTGGATGCTGGTTCTGCATGTTAAGCGAAAGTTTGCTTAACTTGTTGGCCAGTCTGGAGGGCCTGCATCTACTTCCCTGGAATCTCCAGAGTAAGAGTGCACCACACCCAGGAAGCTGTTCCAGCTGGGTCTCCCCTGGAAGAGGAACCAGCTGACCACCACTGAGGGAGGAGTGTGCCCCAAGCCGCTTGCTGGGGAGGCACCTACCTGGTGGGCAGAGCCCATTAGGAAGCCAGCACTGAATGGCCAGGGCTGGTGGGCAGGAAGGCAGCCAAGCCAGTGTTCAGGGGTAGCTGAGAAGAGGCTGGCCACCAGCCCTACTAATGATGAGGCCTCAGGGTGGCAGGCTCGGGATGGGCGCTCTTGTGTGTGTTGAGGGGGGTGGATAATTAGGTTTTCATTTATTTATTAGTGGAGGTACTGGGGATTGAACCCAGGCCCTTGTACTCACACTCTACCACTGAGCTATACCCTCCCCCTGGGGTGGGTACTCTTGAAGGAACTCTTGCCCTCTCCCCTTGGCAGGCCATGGAGAGAGTGGCCTCTCACCCCAAGCCAAGGTCCTCAGGACTGTGGTCCTCAGTGGAGGAAGAGGCCAAGTGGGGAAGTCAACTCAGGATATCACTGTGGTGAAGGCAGGGTGCGTAGCCCTGAACAAGCCTTATTTATGCTTCCCTCTGTGGCTCTGCCTGGGAAACCTTTTCTCCGCATCATTTTGTGATGACTTGCTTCTTCCAGGCCACCTCCTTCACAGATCTCTGCTTGGCCCCTGGGCCTGCATGGACCCCCAAGAACACTTTCCTAAGCCTCTCCACCTTCCCCTGTTTCCTCCTTTGAGTCAGCCCTGCTACCTGAACCCCATTTCTCATGTGGGTGGTGAGCCTTGAGGGCATTCTCCCAACCATTACAGATTGAGCCCCATCTACTTGCCAAGGTCTGAATTCTGCATCTTGGTGGTTGACTGGCAGCCCAAGGTCCCCCTCTGACCAAGTGATGCCCTGACTGAGTGGAATCAGGGTCTGGGGCGAGGCCTGGGTATTGAGGGTCTGGGTGCATCTAGCTCTCACCGTGTCCCCTGTCTTCCTCCCCAGGACGAGCAGAAGTGTGTGGAGACAGTGGAGCTGGGCAGCTATGAGAAGTGCCAGGACCTTCGTGCCCTCCTCAAGCGGAAACACCGCTTTATCCTGCTGCGGTCCCCAGGGAACAAGGTAGGGCTCGGCCCACCGCTGGCTGACCTCCCTCCAGGCCAGGATCTGCTTGGGAAGATCCCCCCTGGAAGGCTGTCTAAGACAGGCTGGGCCCCTGGATGCAACCTGCCAGTTCTCTGTGAAGTGTGGCTGAAGCTCAAACCCAGGGGCGGCCACCATTTGGACCTTTGGCTCGTTTTGCCTTGGAGTCCCCCAGCCCCTGGTTGATAGGAGGTGCATTTAGGGCTCTGCTGAGAGCTCTGCTCTCCTTCCAGGCCCTGGGGCCTCCTTCCCGGGCTAGAGTTGGAAAGTAGCCTTTGGGAGGTGGGGCCCTTGGCCTTCTCCCACACCCTGGACACAGGAGGCCCAGGACTGAGGCAAGAAAGCTGGGGAATGAGGCCGTCACCCCTCGTAGTCAGGCGGCCACACCTTCTCTCATCCCAGGCCTTCCCGGGTGGGCCACCCCTCCTACCCTCCATCCTAGACTCAGTACTTGGACCCACAGCCTCCCAACTTTCCTCCCCTTGCATGGTCCTTTCTTGGCTGAAGCTGGAGAAAGTCTCTTGCCTGAGAGCTTCTTTCCCTGGGACATGCTGTGTATACAGATGAAGTTCACTCTTTGCACCCAGCGTCTCTGGCGGGGAGGCCTGGTGGGTGTTGACATGTGGCAGAGTTTCACAGATGTCTGGAGGGAATTCAGATTGGAGGCTGGTGCGCCCATCTGCAGCCAGGCCGCGCCTCGTCCCGCCCCAACCTCTGCGCGTCATGTGGAGCAGGGCTGAGTCACAGAGGCTGGGGACTGGGGAGCAGGCCTGGTCTGGGCTTGCCTGAGGCCATTCTGTTTCTTCCCCAGCCTTTTGTGTGTGTTCGATAGCGGGGGAGGTAATTAGATTTATTTATTTATTTTTAATGGAGGTGCTGGGGATTGAACCCAGGACCTTATGCATGCTAAGCATGTGCTCTAGCACTGAGCTACATGCTCCCCCCGTTTTTTCCCCAGCTTTAAGGGCCAGGAGCCTGGTCCTCTGTGGTCCCCTGAGCTCCGGGCCCTGGAGGAGACCGTGATGCTTTACTTACTAACCCTCTGTCCTGCTTGGTGGTGGCTGGGGGCAAAGAAGCAACTGTGGCTCTAGACCCCAGGGACGGGGCTGTGCCCAGAGTAGCGGTGGCTTTCACTTGACCTCTGCTGCTTAGGAGGAAGGGGAGAGCAACAGTTTGGTCTTTCAGGCCCTGGAGACCCCCACCCTGTTCCGGAGACCCACTTCCTCTCTGAGTGGCGCTGTACTGTGTGTGCGTGTTTGAGAGACGTGTGAGCACGCTGTGCATGAAGGTCTGCCTGGGTGCCTGACGTGCATGTGTGCGCCTGTGTGTATGCAGGCGAGTGCTCCTCTGGCCGAGGGGCTGCCTGCGTCTTTGTAAGTGTCTTAGTGAGCTCATGTGGATGTGGGGCGAAGGGGCCCTTGCTTCTCTGTCCTCTGCCAGTGCCGTCTGTGGGCCACCTCCTTTCCCGGCTCTGAGGAGCAGCTGGTGGTGGACTAGATGGGTCGGGCCCCACTCAGGGTGGGATGTCACCTTCTGAGAGGCCTGTTTGTGCAGCTGCATTCTCAGCTGCCTCAGCCGACACCCTCCCTTTCATCCCTTCAGCCTGCCAAGAGTTTAGGTGGGCTCTGGGTGACTCTAGGAACAGGGCGATCAGTCGAGGAGATGGGGCTGTGGAGCAATTGGTGGGCGCTGCAGGCCAGTGGGAGCACAGCGCACCCTGGTTCCAGCTCAAGGGCCCCGACCCTCACACCCCAGGAGCTCACACAGAGAGTGGGGGCTCTCCAGAGGTCAGATGGTGGACCGCCCAGAGCACTGTGTGTCCCCCCTCCCCTCCTCTTCTATCGCCTTGGGTGTTCCCATCCTCAGTGAGGCCACAGGCTGGACAGGAGGTCACATGACCCCGGCTGTCTGGTCCTGAGGCCGCCTTTTTTTCCCCTTTAATCAAATAAACAAAGACTCCAGTGTCTTGCTTGCCCCTCTCCCTCCTGCCTCCCCATCCCCACACCCCTGCCATGAGGTCACAGGCAGACGCTGCCAGGAAGCAGGGTGGCCTCTGCTGGGCCTTGCTGCGCTGCAGGTTTCAGCCAGCTTGGCCCTTTCCTCTTTCCTGCCTCCTCTCTGCCCCTCCCACTTCTTTCCTCTCTGCCATTTTTTACCCCCTCTTTCCCAGCCATGTGGGTCTTTTCTGTGGCCGGTCCTGTGAGCTTCCTAACTCCTAGTGCCCCTGGGGTTTCTTGGAAGGGCTTGGGGAGGGACCCGTGCAGCCTGGGGCCCTTCAGGACATGAGGGTGGGGGTGGGGCAAGAGGAGCAACTGCTTGATACCCTGTTTGTCCCTATTCTCATCACCCTTACGGGATGCCTGGCTCATTCAGCCATGATTGCAGGGTTCCTTAGGGTGGGGCTGGGTCCCATTTGACCTTGTATTCCCTCCTAGGGGAGCCCCTGGGCCGACACTCTCCTCCAAGCCTGCCTAGGTAGGCTCGCCAGTGGGGAAGGGTCGCAGTTGGGCTGGGTCTAGTGATTGTGTTCTTGGTCCCGCTGAGGCCCTGAATAGTGAAGAGACCCATGCAGGTCTCATTGCAGGTTGGTGGGACTAGAGCTTTGCGCTCTTGACTCCCAAGCCAGTGCTGTTTCTCTGCCCCACTCTTTCTCTTGCTACATCTGTTCCTGAGTTCAGGTGTGCGTTTCTCAAGCTCTCTGGGATGCTAAGTTCTGCACCCTGCAGGGGCCCCAGCAACTCAGGGCCTGCGAGCAGGAGCAGCAGCAGTGGTGACGGGCTGCCCTGGACGTCTTACTCACAGCCCCCATCACAGGGTTGGGGAGGCCCTTGCAGAGCCCGAACGCAGTGCTGTCCCTTCCTGAGCCCCTAGCAGCCCTGACGGCTGGGCCGAGGCAGTTGCCAAGGTGGCCTGGGGTTTCCGACTTAGCTGCTGATCTGCTGCCAGCATCGAATTTACCCTGGTCATGCAAATGAGTATTTGGCTGTGCCTGGCATGGGGAGGTGGGTGGGACCCAGGGCCCTGTATGAGAAGAAGGCAGAGGCAGCCAGGAGGAAGTTATATAATGAGGATGCTGAGGGGCCAGGCGGGCCACGCGTTACATAATGACTGGGAGAGAGGCAGGGAGGGCAGGCGCCGTCTAACACCCCGGCAGGGGATGGGCAGCTGGTGACCCACCGGACAAAGAACTAGGGCATCGTGAGGTCAGAGAGTGGGCAGCGGCCCAAAACAGGAACCTTGGGCCAGCTCATTCATTGATTAGCTATTCATTCAGTAAGTGTTTACTGAGTACCCACTATGTGGCAGGCCCTGGCTTTCGTCATGTTTGATTCCTTCAGTGTTGCCGTGTGGTAGGGCGTTATCCTTTTCTCTAGACGGGAAACTAGGACTCTTTTGTCCAGAAGGAAAGAAATGGTGATAATTCCTATTACTGAGCACCCGCTCTGTGCCCACTTCCAGATGCAACACTTTTGATACATCATTGATCTTCATAGCCCCCTGGGGCTCAGGGTCAGCCAGCTGTGAGTGCTGGTCTGTCCAGCTCAGAGGCCCTACTCTCCACCACACAGGGCGGCTCCTCGGTGTGTGTGGCCTTACTCCTTCCACCGTTTCCTCCCTGACCTTGGGGCCTGGCAGGGAGGGGCCTCTCTGAACTGCCTTCTGACTCCAGTGCAGGAGCTTGGCGCTCCTGCCTGAGGTGGGAAGGGACCTGTGGGGTGGGGTCGGTGGCTGGGGTGTGAAGTTAAGTCCCGGGATTACTTTCTGCCACCTTGGCCAAATCCATCCCATATGATGAGTCTGTGTCTTCATGAGGGTGTTGTGACTGACCTCCCTAATGCCCTTTCTTGTAACCTGTGATTCAGCTCCAGAAAGGAGATCCTGAGACTTTTTTCACTTGGCCAAGGCTGGGTTTGGGACCCACTAGCAGCTGCAGGTGGCCCTGGCTCCAGTGGGCCCTCACCAAGGGACACCCCTCACGCCTGTCACCTCCGCCCTTGGACTCAATCTATTAAGGATGCAGACTGGGACTACTCCTACTTTACAGAGAAAACTGAAGTTCAGAGGCAGCTGGCCTAAGGGAGTCACTAGACTGGGAGTGAGACCAGATCTGGGCTCTTTCCACAAGACAAGGCTGATTCGAATCCAAATCTCTGGCAGCTGCATGCAGGGAGAGGGCCCCTTCTCTGCTGGATCTGTCCCCGCCCTTGCCCTGAAGCCCCAGTGTCAGACCTGATGTGGGGGTCCTTTTGGTTTGTTCCTGACCAGGGCAGACTTCAGTCTTCAGTCTGCAGGGGGAAGCTTCCTTAAGACCCCCAAACGTGAACCCTGTTAAACGTCTGCCATCCGCCCCACCCCTGTCTTCTGCAGGTCAGCGACATCAAGTTCCAGGCACCCAGTGGGGAGGAGAAGGAATCCTGGATCAAAGCCCTCAATGAAGGGATCAACCGAGGCAAGAACAAGGCTTTTGATGAGGTGCGATGCAGTCCTGTGGATGGCTCTGTGCCCCTCCCCACCACGTGTCATCTCAGGGTGGACCCTGCCCTGCTCCACCCCAGACAACCATTTGATTATGTCACAGCTACAAACACTGGGCATCTGCTGTTGTTACGGTATTTAATCCTCACAACACCCCTCAAAGTAGGTGCTAGTGTTCCCATACTATGGATGAGGAAACTGAGATGTAAGGAAAATAAGTAAGTTACTTTAAATTAAAACATGGGTAGGTGGTGGGTAGAATTTAACTGGTTGCAGCCATGCTTCCTTTCCAACCCAGCTTCAGCTAGAAACTGCAGGGGAGCCGAGGCCAGAGAGATCTGGCAGTGAGCTGAGAGCCACAAGTTCACTTGTCAATTGGGCTGTGAAGTCCAGGCCCGGCTTGCTCTAGCCCTGGGCCTCCCTATTTGTCTGCCGTGGCCACCCAGCCCCCTGAGTTATAGTGGTGACGGCAGCAGTGGCCATGATCAGGCTCGGGGCAGGCAGGGTGGCCCATGGGGCCGGAACTCCTAGGGAGGGTTTATCTTTGACATCTTGGATTTGTAGCTATTTGGGCTAAAATGGACCCGGGGGCCACCTAGATTACAGAAGATTGAGACTCGAGAGCGAATCTTCCCAAGCAAGTCCCTTCATAATACCCAGGTCCTCTGACTTGCAGCCATGGCTCCTATGTCACGTCTTATGTGACTGTGTCATGCTCAACCCTTCACTAGCTGGGGAAAAGTCCTCATTTTGTGGGCGGGGATGATGGACCAAACCACGGGTGTTAGAGGCCACAGGAGCAGGGGCTGGGCTGCAGTCTGCTGCTTTGGCAGAGCAGAATCAGCTTCTCCACTGTGAGGACCCCCAGATGGGACTGAGCCCTGAGCCTCACCTGGGGGCAGAAAAGTCTTAGCCTACCCCCCACCCCCATCACAGGGACAGGCTCCTCTGGGGTTCAGGCTGGATTTCCCATGTGACGCTCACTGTGGCTTCCTGGCTGCCCCTCAGCCCCCTTCCTTACCCTCAGAAAGGAGATACTGTCCTCCAGACACCCCCACCCAAAGGGCTAGAGGCCCAGCTCTTTCCTGGGCTACCCCCGGGGGTCCTGGGAGAGTGACTGGGGCCAGGATAGCGCTTTTCTGGAAGCCAGGTATCAGGCAATCATGGGCTGTCTTCTTCCCACTCCCAGCTAAGCACAAAAGCAGTCTCAGGGCTGCTCATCTATTTGCAATAGATTGAGGGGTGGTGAGGGCTCATAGCCCATGTTTGGGCAGGAAGACTGAGGCAAAGAGGGCAGCTGCAGAGCAGGGAGCACCTCGGAGTGCAGAGAGATGACGAAGGCCGTGTGGAGACCGGGAGTGCAGCAGAGGTCCAGACATAGGGAGAGGCCTCCAAGAGAGGGCAGCGTGGGGCACTGGAGCCTGTCAAGCGAGGATGCAGGTGCAGACCCTGCCTCTGAGTCAGGTGAATGCTCGGGCATCCTCTGCTCTTCCAAGCCTGGTGGGGACTGATGTGGTTCCTTCTCCTTCCCAGGTAAAGGTGGACAAGAGCTGTGCCCTGGAGCATGTGACACGGGACCGCGTGCGGGGGGGCATGCGGCGCCGGCCCCCCACGAGAGTCCATCTGAAGGAGGTAAAGCCTTGCCCCAGCTTGGACGGGGGTGGGGCCAGTTGAGCCTGGGGCCCCAGCTCCTTAGGGTGGCGGTGGGCTTGGGACCACCTTTTTCCTGAGGACTCTTGGCATTGGGCTTGCTGGGTGGTGTGCAGCGTGTCGGCGTGGGGGCGCATGTGTTCTGTGTGCCCTTGGGCCGAGCTGGTGCCTGAGGGAAACTGAGAGCCCGAGGTTAGTCCCACCTCTCAGAGCTCAGCTTCCAGCTGGAGAAGAGCCCGTCCACAGACTGCTCCAAGCAGTGTGCTGTGTCTAATTTTTGTACAGAGGGCAGCTCTGGGACGCCGAGCAGGAGGGACCACAGAGGACCCGCAGACGCTTGAGCTGACCCTCGGAGAGTGGGGAAGGTTTCAGTGGGCAGACCTGAAGTGACAGAGGTCCTGGGTGGCGGGAATGGTGCGAGCTTGAGTCATGGGGCGGTAGAGTTCGAGGCTTGCCCAGTCCCTTTGACTGGGAGGTGGGTCTGGGAAGGCGGGGTCAGGGGAAGAAATTGTGGAGGTCTTGAAAGCAGGAGCTGGGGGCAGAGTGGCTTCCAGAGGTCAGGTGGAGGCCTTGGGTAGGGTGGGTTTGGTTGATGGAGGCAAAGAGAGGGGGCCAGAAAATAGAGGGAGAGGGAACCTCCGGCTCTAGGAGGGGGTGAAAAGGGAGGGGCCAGTGGGAGAGACTCTGGGAAGCAAGAGTCGCCTGGGCTCATGATTGAATATAGGGCTCGGGGTAGTGGACTGGACAGAGAGGGAAGGTTGTCAGAGGCAGCCTACGTCTGGAGACGGGGCGAACGGAGGCCCTGGGCACAGGGCACTTGGGAGACATTCTGGGCAAAGGGAAGGGGGAATGGAGACTTTTTTCAGACCAGGGTTACTCATGGGGGTAGATGGTTGGGGTCGGGGGAGGTCTTGGACTCCAGGAGAGCACCTCAGCAAATGTGACCTTTGGGGGATCGGGGGCAGTAGGGGGCTAAGGAAGACAAGCCCGAGAGGCAAATGACATGTCTGTCCAGAGAAAAGGGCACAGGCTTGGGGGTCATCAGCCGGGTTGGCAGCCACAAGTCACAAGGCGGGACTGAGGAAAAGGCAGGTGGTGACATTTCAGCACATTTTCTCATAGAAGGAGTCAGCTTAGGGTTGTCATGGGGGTGCAGAGCTGTTGGTTCTGGAGGGACAGGGACCGTGGTGGGAGGAGGGAGATGGGAAGGGGCCAAGGACATTGGAGAGTTTGCTTTTGAGATGAGGCAGCCTGTTCATGTCTGTCAGCTGAGGGAAAAACAGCCTTCAGAGGGAGAGGCTGAAGTAGCCAGAGAGAAGGGGCATGTCTGAGGGAGGAGCGCACCCTAGGCCCAGGAGGTGCTGGGGAGCCGGCCTTGGAGAGGGGTGCCCTCTGAGAAGAGATCAGGGAGGGGACTCGTGTCCCAGTAACTGAGTGCATGTGTTAGCCCCATCTCCTGTGTGCGTGTAAAAGTGAGTGAGAGACCTCCAGGGACCCCGGGTGGGCGTCCTGCCCAGCCCGGCTCCAGGTCCTCTGAGGCTCCCTGGGAGTTGTCCCCATGACCATGGGTCCCCGGGGCCAGGTGGGGACAGCCGCCTGCTTGGTGCAGCTGTTCTCCTCTGGCAGTCAGCTGTGGTCTGGGCTGCCCGTGTCTGGGGCCACATGTGACAGTGTGAGGAGAGTGGGCACCGGCTGCTGAGCAGCTGGGCAGGCAAAGGCTGGAGAGATCAGGGCTGGGGGGCTGGCAGACTGGACAGAGGTCTCCAGGGCGTGGAAGCAGAAGAGAGTGAGCTCAAGGTGATGCAGGAGTTCTGGTAGATGCCTGCTGGCTGTGGGGACCCTGGGTGAGTGGTTGCGGAAAAGGGACCCTCCCAAGGCCATATAGCCAGATAGGGGCCCGGAACAACACTGGAGCCATGTCCTCTGCCCCTCAGGCCAGCACAATTGCCACTCAAAAGTAACCTATCGCCCAGGCTGGAAGAAGCCAGGTTGGGGAGCTGAGAAGATACCCTGGCTCTTCCTTCCTGGCCTGTGATTCCAAAACCAGGAATTCTGTGTGAGTGAGAGAAGGTTCATGAGAGAATCACTTCATCTTCTAACCAATGGCCTTGCAAGCAGGGCAGAGGGCATGGAGAGCGGGGGACCTGGATGGGAAGGCTCGAGTACCCTTGTAAGTAGGCATACCTGACCGAGCAGCCAGTCATCCACGTTTACATCCACACCTGCCCCGCTTCCACCCCTCAGGTAGCCAATGCCGCTTCTGATGGGCTTTCACGCCTAGACCTCGATGTTCCGGACAGCGGGCCGCCAGTGTTTGCCCCCAGCGATGATGTCAGTGCAGCCCAGCCCCGGGAGAGACTCCAGCCCCCCATGCCTCCTACCAAGCCTTCCCCAGCCTCTGAGACGACTAGTCTTGGTGACAGCGTGGAGACCCCTGCTGGGGAGAGAGCCCCAACCCCTGTCCCCGCAAGCTCTGAGGCCCACCCTGAAAGCCAAGAAGACTCAGAGACTCCAGTGGGGAAGGACAGTGGCTCTGAGCAGCCCCCCAACAAGGTCCTGCCTGACAAACTGAAGGTGAGCTGGGAGAACCCCAGCGCCGAGGAGTCCCCTGACCGTAAGAGTGCAGAACCGTCCCAGCTGCCCTGTTCTGAGACTTCTGAGGCTATTTCCAGGGAGGGTGGGAAGCCCCCTACACCCCCACCCAAGATCTTATCGGAGAAACTGAGAGCCTCCATGAGTGGCGTGGAGGCTTCTGGGCCAGCCCAGAGTCCTAGGGCCAATGAGACCTCTGCCCCAGCCCCAGCACAGGTCTCAGTGAATGGTGTGGATGACATTTCTGAGCCTGTCAAGCCATCCCAGGCCACAGGCACCCCCGGAACTCCCGCACATGATGCAGCAACATCCACAGCGCTGCCCCCCTGGGACCCGCAACCTCGGTTCCATCCCCGCTGCTCCTCCCTGGGGGACCTGCTTGGGGACGGCCCCCGGCGTCCACGGCAGCCTAGGGAACAGCTGTACCGAGCCCAGCTGGAGGTGAAGGTGGCCTCGGAACAGACGGAGAAACTGTTGAAAAAGGTGCTGGGCAGTGAGCCGGCCCCTGTGAACGCCGAGTCGTTGCTCAGCCAGGCTGTGGAGCAGCTGAGGCAAGCCACCCAGGTCCTGCAGGAGATGAGAGATCTGGGAGAGCTGAGCCAGGAAGCACCTGGGCTACGGGAGAAGCGGAAGGAGCTGGTGACACTCTACAGGAGGAGCGCGCCCTAGGGCCTGCCGGGCCAGGCACGGTCCCTCTTGACTGGCTCAGTCCGCCAGAGCCCAGCCCTGCCGAGAAGTGTGCTTCTGCTCAGGCTGTAGAAGCGCCATCAGGCACGCTGGGGATTGGCCAGGACCTGCAGAGACTCCTGGGATCCTTCCCGCCCTGCCCGGGCCAGTGGTGCCAGGTACCACCCAGGGCTGCTGTCTGGCCTGGCCTGGCCTCCGGCTCTGGGCTTGGCTTGGGAGCATACACTCAGGACCTCTGTGCTCGCGTGGTTGCTCCGAACCGCCCCAGGGCCTTGGCACAGCGCTCAGGATTTCTGAGGGTGGCATCATCTCTGCTTCCCACCCTCAGTAGTTTACATTCCTGACTTCTGAATCGAGCACAGCTGAGCCCCCCTACAGCCTCCATGTCCAGATGTTCCCGGGCAGAGAGCCTCATGGCAGAGGCAGCTTTAAGCCATAAGCAACCCTCTCCACCCACCTATTCTGAGTAGCTGCCAAGGCCTTGGGTCCAGGCTATAGTTTCGTCCCTCAGCTGAGTGAGACCTGGAACCCAGCTAGGGCCTCTGAAAGCGGGTGGGAGGCATCTGCGAGAGAAAGCCCTTTGCTGTGTGGCCCCCTCCCTGGGCCTGTTTCCTATTCTACAGGCCTTCCCCTCTGGTGAGCTGTGACTGGAGGACTCCAGTGGGGAGGAGGAACTCGAAGGGTCTCGTAGACTAGTCCCTGGCCCTGCACCAGCTTGTGTCCAGCCTTGCACATTCCTGTACAGGTGAACCCCGATGTCAGCATCAGAAAATTCTGTGCATAATCCATTATAAATCAACCTTCAGAAGAGAAGCTGCCCCAACTTCTGTGCCTCCCAGATGGGATTTATATCTGGATCTCTGTGGTTTCTTCACAATGCAAACAGGTCCAATATCCCAGTCATTTATGCAAATGCTGATGGGGGTGTGTTGGGGCTTGACACCACTTCCCTCTCCCTTTTTCCCCCCACACCTCTGGCTCAGGCCCCCCATGGACTGCTCCTCCTGAACTTCCTTGTGGAAGGAGCATTTTCTCCCTTACCTTTCCTGGTCCATGCCCACACCCTGGGCCTCTCTGACGCTAGGAGCACATCCAGTCTCCATCCTGCTGCAGTGGCTGGACTGAGGGCAGAGTCTACAGGTGCGGAGGCCCCAAGGGCCACAACCACTCTCCCTGGGGCCTTGGGAGTGGGAGCAGCTTGACAGGCCTGCTCAGGGGATTTCTGCAAGTGCACTTCTGTTTGCTGAAAGAGAAGGGTCCCAGCTGCATGCTCTGGTCTTCTGGCCCCCGCCCCCCCCCACGTCACTGGCCATGCCCACCATGCAGGTAGCTGCCTTCTCTACTTCTGCTTTGTTCTTCTGGGTGGCAGCCGGGGATCGGGAGGGCATGTGTCCACTTTGCAGCCTACACGAGGCAGGGGTGGGGGCGAGCAGCAACATCGTGTCTCATGAGCCCCCATTGGCCTCCCTCAACCACAATCCTTGAACAGATGAGGCTCCCATTGCCAGTCTGCCTGTCTCCCATCTGTCTCCAGTACGATAGCAAGAATGTCACCAGGTGCCCACACTCATGTGTCCCCCTGCAGTCTTCCTTTGGGGAACAGCCTTCCCCCACCAGCAGCCTGGACTGGTGGGGGCTTTAGCCAAGTCATCTGCTCTCAGGGACTTAGTGTCCTCTGATAAGTGACCAGCCTGAGCAAGGAGCTCTGGGGTTATCTCAGTGGCCTAGTACTGTTGGTTCCTGTGGGGTTCCCATGTCTTGGCAGCCTGGGCCAAGGAGAGGAAGCCAGCTTTCAGTGGAGGGAGGAGGATCTGGAATACGCAGGGGCTGCCTGGCCTGCCTCCTTGAGGAGGATGGCATTCCATGTCTTCTGCTTATGAAGCGCCTTTCTTGAAGTTTGGCAATAAATCCCTTTTTATGGAACTTCTCTGCTTCAAGCCTATCTGTTGGTGTAGGGACCAGCCCTAGGACCTCACGGAATCAGAGGGTGGGTAGGTGGAGATTGATCAGGGCATCACCAGTCCTCCAAACTCTGTTCAGGGGCCCCCTTCCCATAGGCTAGCTGGGGGCCTCACCCTCCCACGGTGCGCTGTCTTTGCCAAACTCAGCCAGGCCCTCCAGTCTCAACCCTCCTACACACGTTTCTATAGCGTAGCGGCTGTCATAAGGAACAATGTTTTTCGATTTCTTTTAGTTTTCTTTTTTATTGAAGTATAGTCAGTTTACAATGTGTGTTAATTTTTGGTGTACAGCATAGTGATTCAGTTATATATATACCTTTTCTTTTCTTTTTTGATCTTTTTGTTGGGGGAGGTATTTAGGTTTACTTACTTACTTTTGACGGAGGTCCTGGGGATCGAACCCAGGACCTTGTGCATGCTAAGCATGAGCTCTACCACTGAGCTATACCCTCCTCCCTATATGTACCTTTTCATATTCTTTTCCATTATAGGCTATTGTAAGATATTGAACATAGTTCCCTGTGCTGTACAGTAGGACCTTGTTTATGTATTTTATATATAGTAGTTAGTATCTGCAAATCCCAAACTCCCGATTTATCCCTCCTGCTTTTCTATTTTTAAAAACTTTATTTTGAAATAATTTCAAACATAGAGAAAAGTTGCAAGAATAAATATAGTACAAAGACACCCACGTGCTCATTAACCCATTGGCTTATCTTTTGAGCACCTCTCTGTAACACACATAGCTTTTCTCTGAATCATTGGAGAATTAGTTGTCATGGCCCCTTCCCCCTAAATACTTCAACGTGTATTTCCTGAAAATAAGTGCATTCTCTCATTAACCATAGTACAGCTATCAACTTCAGTAAATTTAACACTGTTGCAATACTTACCATTCATATTCCTATTTTGTCATTAGACCCAAATTACTGGGTCTAATTATTCTTTGGTGTAGGGTTGGATATTGTATACATGTCTCTTTAGTCTCCGTTAATCTGAAAACTTCCAAAGCTTTTATCTTTCATGATGTGGACATTTTTGAAGACTATGCACACACACACCCCCAGCTTTTTAATAGAATGTTCCTCATTTGGGGTTTGTCTGTGGTCTCCCATAGTTAGATCAAGGCTGTGGATTCTCAGCCAGAGAATTGCATAAGTGATAGCAGGTCCTTCTCAGGGCAGCACATCTGGAGACACAACCACCCTCCGTTCCTCACTGGCAATGTTAATTTCGGTCACCTGATCAGAGTCTAATTTTTCTTCTGTATAGTAACGTAGTTTTCTCTGGTATCTAATAAGCAATCTGGGAGACATTTAAAGACCATATACAAATATGTTGCACCTCATCAAGAATTTCCCCCTAGGTCTAGTCTCCATTGATGATAATTGACTGAACAGGTGTTTCCTATAACGGTTCAAAACGATTCCAGCTGTCACTTTAACCTCAGAGCCTGGTCCTGGTTGGGGTGAGCCCGGGCTCTGCCTTATGCCCGTGGCGCTCCTAACGCCTCTCAGCAGGACCCTGAGGCTTTGCTGAGCACTCCTTTGGAAGACCCTGGGCTAGTGGACAGAGCTCCAAGTCAAGCTACCAAATCAAGTCAAGCTGCTAGGAACGTGTCAAGTCCTACCCAGGGATCTCGGTGAATCTCAGCCTCTGGGGGCCTAAATTTCCTCATTCATGAAAGGAGAATTGCAGGCCCCCCTGCTCCCGATGCGGGAAAGCACCGCTGTGCTCACCAAAGACCGGCTCCTCTCCTTCTCTGTGAGGGCTGCTGGACAGGCCCGGTGGCCAACACAACAGGAAGCACCTGACCCGGGGCTTACTGACTGTTCTGTGACCCTCATGTCCCTGCTGAATTCCCCTGCCACTGGCCTGACGGGTAGCCGCCACACCAAGTGGGTGGCCTGCAGAAGCTGGGGGGCCCTGACAAATCATTTCACCTCCTCTGTGAGGAGGAACCAAGGTAAGGGGGAGAAGTTCTTTTATTGATGGGGGCATGCCCCCCCACCCCGGTCTAGGAACCAGGTCTCCTGTGAGGGCCTCCTTGAAGGGAGCAGTTGCTGGGAAGGTGTCGGTGGCTAGCCAGCAGCAAGGTTGAGGAAGGATGTGGTAAGAACTTTCCTTCCTTCTGGCCCTGGGGACTGGGGGCCTGTGCAGAGAAGTGGAGCCTTTTTTGTTGTTTCTGTTTTTTTTTTTAAATACTTTAGTGGCCTGAAGTCCTGTGGGGTTTTACAAACCACAGTGTGGCCGCCTCCAGGCAGGACCCAGGATGGTGGGGAGGGCCTGGTGGAGGAAGGGACTCCAGATCGTCCCTTCCTCCGCCCTCACCCAAGCCTGGGCCCTGGAAGCTCCGTGTGTCTTTCTGGAGCCACCATATTTTGTGCCCTCCTCCAAGTCTTGTCTTCCTGCCTCTCTGCCTTCCAACCCCTACTGTTTTTTATTTTTAAAAAATTTTTTTATTGAGTTATAGTCATTTTACAATGTTGTGTCAAATTCCAGTGTAGAGCACAATTTTTCAGTTATGCATGAACATACATATATTCATTCTGACTTTTGTTTTCACTGCGAGCTATCACAAGATCTTGTATATATTTCCCTGTGTTCCCAACCACTACTCTTATGTCCCTGACAGGAGACATGTCAGAGACATGAGACAGGGTTGTCAGAAAAAGACCTCATGAACTCACTCAAGTGAGGCCCACGAGCCTCCCCTCTCCCTCTCCTGTGTCTCTGAGACTTTATGAGGCAGCTCTGTGGAGGAACATGGAGGGTGAAGAGGTGACAGTGGAAATTCCACCCTGTCATCATAATTTTATTAAATGAACAAAATTCCTGGAGGGAGTAGCAGGGTATGAGTAGAAAAACACATGACTTTAGATTTGGAGGCAGAGTCAAACCTCAGCCATGAATGTGTCACCTTAGGCAAATGGGCCTCAGTTTTCCCTGTCTGTCAAATGGGCTAATGCTCCCTTCTTCACAGGATTGCTGTGGAACACTTAGCCCTTGGCCTGCCTCATAGAAAATGAGGTTGTTAAACCCCAGCAGCCTGGCCTCACAGAGCACCTACCATTTGGCAGGCCAATTTTGGTCTCTCATTGTCAGCACAGCGGTCTCTTGTGGAAGATTTATTTCTGTTCACTCCATTTGCAGGTTAGAAAACTGAAGTTTAAACAGCTTAGGCAACCACAAGTTAGTGTTGGGGCCAGGGATTTGACACCCTGGGTTCCTGGCCTGGGGCTCCAATTGACTGCTTCCTGTTTCTTCTCTGGAGAGTCTGTGACTTCAGATGCACGCTTAGCCCAGGGGCCTTCTGGCTGACTGGTGGTGGGGGGGCCGGGGCATCCCCACCTTTCCTGGGGCCTGAAGGACACCCGGAGGCTAGCCTGGCTCTCTGCCAGCCCAAGGGCGAGGCTCAGGAGGCGCTTCCCTTATAAGGGCAACAACTTGGCCGGCCGTGATGAAACTTCT